TTATTGTCTTTGGCTTGGGTGTTATGTTTGCTGGGTGTGTCTTTTTTGTTCATTGGGTGTGTTTTTTGCTGTTGTTATTTGTTTGTTTTTTTGTGTTGATGGGAGAGAGATTGAACCAACACACAGCAGATGAGTTTGTACGAACCGGGTTATTCTGTGTTTTTAAACGCATTCTTACTGATAACTCTTACATGCGTCTCTAGGGCTGGAAATGACTGTTTCTACATTCTCCAAAGAAAGGGTTTCTGAGCTGCTGCAAACACACATCAGTTAATCTCTGGAAGTTGTATACACACTTTGAAAACCATTCTGATAAATAGCTCCGTTTTGGTTTTAGAGCAAGGTATTTCACTTTACAGCCTGCTTTCCCATCCACTCTGGAATGGTCCCAAACGCCGTTTTTAGAAGAACCAGTTGCAACCCTGGCTGAATCTAAACATAGAGGCAACTTAATAAAAGGAAGCAACACACAGCAGATGAATTTGTACGAAGCGGGGTATCTGTGTTTTAAACGCATTCTTACTTCTAACTCTTATATGCGTCTCTAGGGCTTGGAAATGACTGTTTCTACATTCTCAAAGAAAGGGTTTCTGAACTGCTGCCAAACACACATCAGTTTAACTTGAAAGTTGAATACACAATTGACAACCATTCTGCTAGATAGCTCCGTTTTGGTTTTAGAGCAAGGTATTTCTCTTTACAGCCTGTTCTCCCATCCACTCTCGAATGTCCAAACGCAGTTTTTTGAATAAACGTGTTGCAACCTCGCACAATCTAAACATAGATGCAACTTCCTAAAAGGAACCAACACAGAGCAGATGAGTTTGTACGAAGTGGGTATTCTGTGTTTTAAACGAATTCTTACTGTTAACTCTTATATGCGTCTCTAGGGCTTGAAATGACTGTTTCTACATTCTCCAAAGAAAGGGTTTCTGAACTGCTGCATACACACATCAGTTTAACTCTGAACGTTGAATACACTCATTGACAACCATTCTGCTAGATAGCTCCGTTTTCATTTTAGAGCAAGGTATTTCTCTTTACAGCCTGTTTCCCATCCACTCTGGAATGTCCAAATGCAGCTTTTAGAAGAAACGTTTTTCTACCTCGCTGAATCTAAACATAGACGCAACTTCCTAAAAGAAACCAACACACAGCAGATGAGTTTGTACGAAGCGGGTCTTCTGTATTTTAAACGCATTCTTACTGATAAATCTTATATGCGCCTCTAGGGCTGGAAATGACTGTTTCTACATTATCCAAAGAAAGGGTTTCTGAACTGCTGCAACCACACATCAGCTTAACTCTGGAAGTGGAATACACACATTGACAACCATTCTGCTAGATAGCTCCGTTTTGGTTTTAGAGCAAGGTATTTCTCTTTACAGCCTGTTCTCCCTTCCACTCTGCAATGTCCAAACGCAGCTTTTAGAAGAATCGTGTTTCTACCTCGGTGAACCTAAACATAGATGCAACTTCCTAAAAGGAACCAACACACAGCAGATGAGTTTGTACGAAGTGGGTCTTCTGTATTTTAAACTCATTCTTACTGATAAATCTTATATGCGTCTCTAGGGCTGGAAATGACTGTTTCTACATTCTCCAAAGAAAGGGTTTCTGAACTGCTGCAAACACACATCAGTTTAACTCTGAAAGTTGAATACACACATTGACAACCATTCTGCTAGATAGCTCCGATTTGGTTTTAGAGCAAGGTATTTCCCTTTACAGCCTGTTTTCCCATCCACTCTGGAATGTCCAAACGCAGCTTTTAGAAGAAACGTGTTTCTACCTCGCTGAATCTGTTTGATTTTCTGCTCTTGTGTCAGAGAGAGGAAAGGGCCAACCCATATCCTGGCCCGGCCTTCTACTGAGGACAGCAGTCTGGGGCACTTGGTCTTGTACTTATTTTGGCCATGTGTCTCATAGCTCTGATCCTGAAGGTCCACCTGCAGTTGCTTGCTGTCCACAAAGCTGATACTTGGGGAGAGACAGAAAGGATGTTCCAAAGTCTCTGATTTTCTGAAAATACCCTCAATCTAACCAGAGAATGAGGAATGGCTTATTTGAACTTATATGGGAAGAGAATCTTGATCCAGGCATCAAGGCTTTTCTCCATGTCTGCTATTGAAGTTCCCATTTCCACATATCTGTGACACTTTGAGAATAGGCAGTTTTAAGTTCCTTCAAAGTAGATAGGGCACACTATTACTTCTTTCAGCCTTGGTGCTGTTGGCACAGTGCTTTGCAAATGGGTACTCTTAAAAAAGTTGAAATTGAATCCTGAGATGTTTTAACCAACAGTGGTATTGCATGTCTGTAGAAACTGATATAGATTGCTGAGAGGAAAAGACAGTTTCATTCCTAAACCAAGGTTTTAGTCTCTATTTTTCACTACACTCTCCCTGCAAATTTTATACCTTCATGCTTCAGTTTTTCTGTCCTCAGCAAATTGAGAGTAAAATGCTCACTTCTAAGTTTCTGGGAGTGTAGTCAGGATCCAATTAATTTCGATAGATAATAAAGTCTGCAGTGTTTCATTACACAGAGGAAAAATGGATGATTTTATCGATTTGGTGACCATGCACCTATGAGACTTAATGTATTTCTGCAGCTGGTTGGCCAGGGAATAAACAGTAGCTTTGGATGTCAGGAATTTCTCTTTGAGGTCTTGGAAGTTCTGTTGGCATTTTTCCAGTTCAGAGTGCAAGTACTGATTGGTTTCCAGGATGCTCGTTTCTGCCCTTGGACCAAAACAATTGGTGGGAGATACTGCCATGCTGAAGCTTGTGGAGGAAGTAGAGCTGGAGCCTAGGAAGAAGAAACCCAAACAAATAATACATTCAAAACAAATAGGCCAGGCGCGGTGGCTCATGCCTGTAATCCCAGCACTGTGAGAAGCCAAGGTGAATGGATCATGATGTCAAGAGATCGAGACCATCCAGGCCAACATGGTGAAACCACATCTCTACTAAAAAATACAAAAAATTAGCTGTGTGTAGTGGCGGGCACCTGTAGTTCCAGCTACTCAAAAGGCTGAAGCAGGAGAATTGCTTGAACCCAGAAGGCAGAGGTTGCAGTGAGCTGAGATTGTGCCACTGCACTCCAGTCTGGTGCCTGGTGACAGAGTGAGAATCTGTCTCAAAAACAATAAATAAATGACAGATACAGGTGAGGGGACGGAAGGCAGCAAAGCACACTGCCATGTGTGTACCTATGCAACAATCTTGCATGTTCATCACATGTACCCCAAAACCTAAAATGCAATAAAAATAAATAAATAAATAAAAATAAATTTAAAAAAATGAATGGATCATGGTAATGGTTGTACTACTTGGGTAAATTACTAAAAATTATTTAACTCTAAAATTATAATGGGTAATTTTACAGTATGTAAATTATACCTCAATAAAGATTCTTTACATTAAAAAAAGAGGGATATCAATGGGTCTAAAAAAGCAGATCTGAGTAATAACTTACTTTTGGGATAAACTTTGTCAGCATCCCATAAATCTGAATGTCCTTAGTCACACAAACAAGGCACAAGGTGGCTAAGCTTAGAGTCTAAGGTACTGTCTGTGCATAAGAAGGCCTGAGGTAAGACCAAGTGCCAGGTAATGGTCTGAAGTCACAATAACATAATTAGGTGGAGGCATCATGAAATATTAGGATCTCTGCCTTCCAGGTGCCTAAGCCACGTGGAAACACAATATCTCTTCTGACGGTCACTACCAATGGAGACCGCTCCCTCAGCAGTCATTCTCAACATTTGTATACCCTTGTGACAATACCAGAGGCCTCTCTCTTTCTAAAATTTACCCACATTTTCATTGTTGTTTATTGCAAATGCATAGAAAACATCAAGGAATACCTATTTCCCCAAGTTCTAGCATTGCCTTAAGGACAGTCATGAAGTCATTTTTTCCTGATTAAAAATTTAACACTTTTAGGGTCCGGATGGGGTGGCCCACGCCTGTAATCCCAGCACTTTGGGAGGCTGAGGCGGGTGTATCAGGAGGTCAAGAGATCAAGACCATCCTGGTCAACATGGTGAAACCCCGTCTCTACTAAAAATACAAAAAAAAATTAGCTGGGCATGGTGGCACATGCCTGTAATCCCAGTTACTCAGGTGGCTGAAGGCAGGAGAATTGCCTGAACTCAGTAGGCGGAGGTTGTGGTGAGCTGAGATTAAGCCACTGCACTCCAGCCTGGTTACAAGAGTGAAACTTTGTCTTGAAATACATAAATAAATAAATACATAACAGTTTTAGATAGTCTTGGTATTCTTTGGTTCTCCAGTTTTCCACATTATTTGACTACTTTAAGAAAGAAACCCTGCATATTCTGCTCAGTGTGTGAATAATTTAGTTATAAGGATTTTGAGGCCAGGTGCAGTGGCTCACACCTGTAATCCCAGCACTTTGGGAGACCAAGGTGGGTGGATCACTTGAGCTCAGGAGTTTGAGACCTACCCGGCAGCACAGCTGTCTCTACAAAAACATTTTAAAACAGCTGGGCATAGTGGTGCATGCCTGTAGTCTCAGCGATTCAGGAGACTGAGGTGAAAGAATCGTTTGGGCCCAGGATTTTGCTGCTGCAGGGAACCAAGGCCATTTCACTGCACTACAGTCTTGATGACAAAGTGAGACCCTGTCTCAAAAAATAAAAACAAATAAAAAACAAAAAAATTTTGGTCAATGTCTTAATATTCTTATTGCCTTAAACCAATGTTATACTGGAATCTTTTCACCACTGGGGAAGCATGTTACGTTTTTTTATTTGTTTTTCTAACAGACAAGGTCTAGCTCTGCTGCTCAAGCTGGAGTGTAATGGTGTGATCACAGCTCACTGCAGCCTCAAACCCCCAGACTCAAGGGAACTTCCTGCCTCAGCGTCCTCAATTGTTGGAACTGCAGGCACATGTCACCACACTCAGTTATTGTGTGTGTTTGTGTGTGTGTGTGTGTGTGTGCGTGTGTGTGTGCAAATGGGATCTCACTATGTTGCCCAGGCTGGTCTCAAACTCCTAGGCTCAAGTTATTCTCACATCTTGGCCTCCCAAAGTGTTCGGATTATAGACATCAGCACACTTGGCCCAAGTTGAGTTTTCATTTAATTTGAGGACAAGTTTGATATTCGTAACTCCTAAACCCTCTCTCCTCTTCTATGTGTGAGATGCTTTGTGTTATAATCTCTATATACATATTTTGTGCTTGTCAGTTATGATTTTCATTTTAACTCCACAGGCTATCTTTCCAATTTGTCACAATCACTGAAACAATTTATATATATATATATATATATATATATATATATATATATATATATATATATGTGTGTGTGTGTATATATATATATATTATTTTTTTAGTTTTTACTTTTAATTTTAGTTTTTTTTTCCTTTTTTTTATTGCATTTTAGGTTTTGGGGTACATGTGAAGAACATGCAAGATTGTTGCATAGGTACACACATGGCAGTGTGGTTTGCTGCCTTCCTTCCCCTCACCTGTATCTGTCATTTCTCCCCATGCTACTTCTTCCCACCTCCCCAGCCCCCCATAACCCCCAATTTCCCCCCAATGAATCCCAGTGTGTAGTGCTCCCCTACCCGTGTCCATGTGTTCTCATTGTTCAACACCCACCTATGAGTGAGAACATGCAGTGTTTGATTTTCTGCTCTTGTGTCAGTTTGCTGAGAATGATGGTTTCCAGGTTCATCCATGTCCCTAAAAAGGACGTGAACCCATCGTTTTTGATGGCTGCGTAATATTCCATGGTGTATATGTACCATATTTTCCCTATCCAGTCTATCATTGATGGGCATTTGGGTTGGTTCCAGGTCCTTGCTATTGTAAACAGTGCTGCAACGAACATTCATGTGCATGTGTCCTTATAGTAGAATGATGTAGAATTTATCCTTTGGATAAATACCCAGTAACGGGATTGCTGGGTCAAATGAGATTTCTATTTTTAGGTCATTGAGGAATTGCCACACTGTCTTCCACAATGGTTGAATTAATTTACACTCCCACCAACAGTGTAAAAGTGTTCCTATTTCTCCACATCCTCTCCAGCATCTGTTGTCTCCAGATATTTTAATGATCGCCATTCTAACTGGTGTGAGATGGTATCTCAATGTGGTTTTGATCTGCATTTCTCTAATGACCAGTGATGATGAGCATTTTTTCATATGTTTGTTGGCCTCCTGTATGTCTTCGTTTGTAAAGTGTCGGTTCATATCCTTTGCCCATTTTTGAATGGGCTTGTTTGGTTTTTTTTTTGTAGATCTGTTTTAGTTCTTTGTAAATCTGGATATCAGCCCCTTGTCAGATGAGTAGACTGCAACAATTTTTTTCCCATTCTGTTGGTTGCCAATTCACTCTACTGACTGTTTCTTTTGCAGTGCAGAAGCTGTGGAGTTTGATTAGGTCCCGCTTGTCTATTTTGGCTTTTGTTGCCATTGCTTTTGGCGTTTGGTCATAAAGTCCTTGCCTACACCTATTTCCTGAATGGTTTTGCCTAAATTATCTTCTAGAGTTTTTATGGGGTTAGGTCTGATGTTTAAGTCTTTAATCCATCTGGAGTTAATTTTGGTGTAAGGTGTCAGGAAGGGGTCCTGTTTCTACCTTCTGCACATGGCTAGCCAGGTTTTCCAACACCATTTATTAAACAGGGAATCCGTTCCCCGTTGCTTGTTTTTGTCAGGTTTGTTGAAGATCGGATGGTTGTAGATATGTTGTGTTTCCTCTGAGGCCTCTGTTCTGTCCCATTGGTCAATATCTCTGTTTTGGTACCAGTACCATGCTGTTTTGATTACTGTTGCCTAGTAGTATAGTTTGAATTCCGGTAGTGTGATGCCTCCTGCCATGTTATTTTTGCTTAGAATTGACTTGGCTATGAGGGTTCTCTTTTGGTTCCATGTGAAGTTTAAGGTGTTTTTGCCAGTTCTGTGAAGAAGGTAATTGGTAGCTTGATTGGAATAGCATTGAAGTTGTAAATAACTTTGGGCAGTGTGGCCATTTTCAAGATATTGATTCTTCCTAACCATGAACATGGAATGTTTCTCCATCTGTTTGTGTCCTCTCTTATTTCGTTGAGCAGTGGCTTGTAGTTTTCCTTGAAGAGGTCCTTTACGTTCCTTGTTAGTTGTATTCCTAAGTATTTTATTCTCTTTGTAGCCATTGTGAATGGCAGTTCGTTCTTGATTTGGCTCTCTTTAAGTCTGTTACTGGTATATAGGAATGCTCGTGATTTTTGCACGTTGATTTTGTATCCTGAGACTTTGTTGAAGTTGTTTATCAGTTTCAGGAGATTTCGGGCTGAGACGATGGGGTCTTCTAGATATACAATGATGTCATCTGCAAATAGAGACAATTTGATTTCCTCCTTTCCTATTTGAATACCCTTTATTTCTTTTTCTTGCCTGATTGCTTTGGCTAGAACTTCCAATACTATATTGAATAGGAGTGGTGAGAGAGGGCATCCTTGTCTAGTGCCAGTTTTCAAAGGGAATGCTTCTAGTTTTTGCCCATTCAGTATGATATTGGCTGTTGGTTTTTCATAAATACCTTTTATTATTTTGAGATACGTTCCATCAATACCTAGTTTTTTGAGAGTTTTTAGCATAAAGGGCTGTTGAATTTTGTCAAAGGCCTTCCCTGCATCAATTGAGATAATCATGTGGTTTCTGTCTTTGGTTCTGTTTATGTGGTGAATTACATTTATGGACTTGTGTATGCTGAACCAGGCTTGCATCCCTGGGATGAATCCTACTTGAT